CCCCCCCCTCCCCACCTTTTTAACCACGTCCTACAGGCTTTTATGAACATGAACTTACATGAACTGCTATGCTGTGAAAATTGCCACCCCCCTCCTCTACGTCCTCACCGTGCGCCCACATATATGACTGATTCTTTCTATTCCCTTTATCTATCGAGTTTCGCCCCTCTGGGACGAAACTTAATTGGACAGTTAATTCTCTTATTAATAGGCAACCACCGTCTGCAATTGAATAAAAGTTCACGAAAATTTATGCCAACAATAAATTCTGTTAATCTCCTGATCTTTGCCTTATTCAAATTTCTTCCGGGAAAACAATGTTTCAATAGTAACTTGCTCGTCTGATATCGTGCTCGAGAAGTACGTATTCTGAAGTGTAGGTCATTTGCTAGACCCAATTCACGTGCCACTTTTAAGCATCAAGATGGGGATCCCCGTGACTCTGTCGGTAACATTAATAAATCAGAATGATAGTCCCATTAGCATTCCCACACCTTCGCGACTGGTTAGACAATTATGTATTTTGGCGTAAAGGTCGGTTTCGAATTCCTCCCACGAAGGTATGACAATTGAAATTAATCACGCAGACCGATGACTATTATGTAGCCGCGATTATGATAGAGTGCCCCACCATATTTCGCAAAACCTCTGCAGTCATGTGACATTATTCACTGTAGTATAATTCATTTCAGGTAACGACTTGTGCAAAGTTCTTTCACATTCTTCCTATTTGTTGTATTCTTAAAAAGAATAGCAGTTATTTTCCCGATTGAGACATTGAACTATTTCCTCACTCTGATGCAGCTATCCGACAAATTGACCTATTGGAAATGTCGCGTCGAAGGAACTGCGGTGATTCCAGTGAGTCCTTTTTTATGATAAGTAAAACCGTCCTTGGACGCTACCTTGATTTATTCCATCCCGTGCGATAAGAATACTCAGATATTCAGGAAGCAAACTTAGGCGAACGGATGTTCTCAATTATTCATTATCAGGCAGGGTATAGTTAACAAAAGTTTATGCAACCGAGACATGGACGACGGTGCGGCATTAACTAACTGTCGGACCCCCTTTGCCCTCAGCCCTTCACCTCTCTGCTCGCCAATTATAACTCGAATTTGACCCCCTTTTGATCCGCACTTGTGATAAGTGTGAACGCCGTAGAAGGACACATATGACAGCAATATCTTGTGAAAATAGAAAATAATTAGCAAGATAAAACTCCATCTAGGGGTTTTACTGAAACATATATCTGGTGTTTATTGAGCATAATAAAGTATGGGTGAAAACGCTGTAAATAAGATAAACCAAAACGGATGCCTGATTGGAGGTAATGCACACGTTAACTAGGTTGTGTAATGCTTGCTAATTTCATGAAAAATGCCACACATCAGGAAACGGGAGGATAATGGTCGTCTCCCGGGTTTCGTGTGCTGTTGGGTAGATAGCGATATATTTCAGCGCATTTACTCATTACAAATAGCTGTCACGTGTTTAAAGTCCCACGACAGGCGTAACGTTATGCATTGCAGACTGGTAACTTATAGGGTTTGTTTGATTCGCTCATGGCAGGGAATCGGGCTGCACTGCATTCTTACCTATAATAAAAATCATACTTTTCTGTACGTTAGTAAAGAAAACTTCAAAAACCCGCATAGCCTCTTCCGATTTTTGCAGATGATATTGCAAACTGCAATTAAAAGCGCAAATGCGAGCCCCAAGAAATAATTGAGAAGAAGCATATGTGATCCCTGTGACAAGAACTTTTTTCGCCTGATGTTTCGGATTCCACTGCGGATTCCTCATCAGAGACAATAGCAGCAACGGGCAATTGAAACACAGATATGGAGGAGGAAGAATGCATATCGAGCACCAGATCAATTGATTTATTGTTCAATCAACTGATCTGGTGCTCGATGTGCCTTCTTCCTCGTCCATACAATTACCTGGATCGCGAACCTTCTCATTCATTCGGAAACACAGATAGCTGCATTATTTATAGTACACAGCGGTCATGCTATTGCATACCTAGGACAATTCGCGGCTCCACCCTATGGAGGATAGTTGGCCGCTTGCGTGCTCATTGCTTGAGGGTTGTCGCGTGGGTCGCTTTTATTATCCGCGCTTGGTTTGCGCATGCTGATTGCAAACAGCATACGAAGCAATAATAAACGACCAAATGCAATGAGTGGACGTCTTACGAAGGAAACAAATGTGATCTAATGTGAACGCAATGCCAAAAGTAGAATGACATAATCTTGATGATGTCAATCAATACAACCTGGTACTTCCTTTATTTAACTCCAATTTGTAAAAAAGCTCCACTTTGACCGGCTATCGTCGCACATGGTAATCCAACTTATTCTTTGGAAAATCTGATACAAAAGAGTAGGTGACGAGCGTAAGTATACTTTCGACAAATTCTCATCGGCCAATTACATTTATATAGGAAGGGGTAAAAGGTACATGGTCAATTGCATCTAATTATGGTCATAGTTACAGACAAATTAATCATGGGAATAGGGGAGGATTTTGGGGTTGATAATAGGTGGCTAGTTACGCGGCAATAAGGGGGGGCGAAAGGAAGAAAGCGTGGAAAATGCCGCCTCTTACCAACCCCAACCCTTCCCCTATTCCCATGACTAATTTGCCTGTAACTATGACCATAATTACCTGCAATTTACCATGTATCTTTTACCCCTTCCTATATAAATGTGATTGGCCCGATGAGAATTCATTGAAAATATACATATGCTCGCTACCTACTCTTTTAAATTCTATAATGGGAATTTTCCAACTCTAAAATCCGATACAGTCCAATTTACGGTTTCT